AACATATATTATTTTTTTATATATTTTCATGATGGCAAATTGTAAGGTGCTACAATTATAGGCCATGAAGAATATTATTGTCCAAATTTATCAACAAGTTGAAACCCATCGGTGTAAACACCTAATCTAACATTCTGAATTTCTAATGCAAAAGGATGTGTTCGGTCAAAATGCCGTCATGCAAAGGAGTTTGAACAATAACACATGACGTCCGACTCACGGACATGTTGCATGCCACGTCATGTCGTCGGCGGTGGTGCTTGATGCATACATCCTCTATAATTGTGGGGTTATCAAAAAATAATATATTTTTTTATACGGGACATATGTTTCTCTAATCGATCACTACCTAGGGTTTCGATATCGAGGATGATCACATATTTTAAAAGTGATTCTATCGTTGTCTTCATCCCAATAAATCATATAACCATTTATGCAACTATGGATCTTTTGAATGGGTAAACCCATCATTTTCATCATTTTTTTGTACCGTAAAAGTCTTCGGTCTGCAGATTATCGACATGCATCAACTATTTCATAAGTTGACATAAGTTGTCGTAACACCTCTCCGAGAAATGATGCTCGGACTTGAGATGTGACAAATGAGACATTGTCAATAACCGTGAATGGTTTTCTAAATCGGATCATATTTCTCTATTTGATGCATATAATAAATCGTAAAATGCTTGGGCAACGGTGTTTAGGCCTTCATCCGTATTAGATGGATTAAATGATGGACCGACTACATCCATCACCATTGTGTGGTATCGATTGACTTGACGATCATCAAATATTTGTTCTTGTTGAACATAATTAATCAAATTGTCATAAATGATCGAATCATTCTCTCCATGATGTCTCCACATATAATACCCAAACACAAAACCATATCTCATCAAATGATACTTAACGGTATCCGGTTTTTTGTAACTACGATTTTGACATTTTGTAAGTTTACATAAACATCGTATCTTATTTTCATCCATACACTCGGACGACTAATCACAAAATTAATAAAATTTTTAATTCCTTCTACGAAACGTTCATTTAATAGTCCATCACTTAATCTAAAGCTAATCCAAGAACGATCTGAATTCATTTTAAACTTAATAATTTTTTTATTACTAATTAAATTTGTAATTAATAAAAATCTAAAATATTTCTAATAACTTAATATTATTTTTACTAAATAATTTTTAAATTATTAATTAATTTTATAATTACTTGATACCTTTACCTAATCAACAACTAAATAAACTTAATCACTTATTAATATTTTAATTACTAAATCTAAATTCAAAAAGTATTAATTTTTTAAATACTAATTATATTTTTAATTACTAAAAATTTAAAATATTTCTAATAACTTAATTTTGTATTTACTAAATATAATTTCAAAAAAACTAAATTCTTAAATTCTTAATTAATATTCTAATTACTTAACTACTTAACTTAATGAACTAAATAACCTTAATTACTAATAAATTTTAAAATTACTAAATAAATATTATAATTTAAATAATATTTAAATTTTTAATTAATTTTTAATTACTTAATACCTTTACTTAATGAACAATTAAATAAACTTAATCACTTATTAATTTTTTAATTAATAAATCTAAATTCAACAAGTATTAATTTTTTAATTACTAATTATTTTTTTCATAACTAAAAATTTAAAATATTTCTAATAACTTAATTTTTTATTTACTAAATATAATTTTGAGAAACTAAATTTTTTAATTCTTAATTAATTTTCTAATTACTTAACTCCTTAACTTAATCAACAACTAAATAAGCTTAATTACTAATAAATTTTAAAATTAATAAATAAATATTATAATTTAAATCATATTTAAATTATTAATTAATTTTTTAATTACTTAATGAAAAATTAAATAAACTTAATCACTTATTAATTTTTTACTTAATAAATCTAAATTCAAGAAGTATTAATTTTTTAATTACTAATTATTTTTGTAATAACTAAAAATTTAAAATATTTCTAATAACTTAATTTTTTATTTACTAAATATAATTTTGAAAAACTGAATTTTTAATTCTTAATTAAGTTTCTAATTACTTAACTCCTTAACTTAATCAACAACTAAATAAGCTTAATTACTAATAAATTTTCAAATTACTAAATAAATATTATAATTTAATTAATATTTAAATTATTAATTAATTTTGTAATTACTAACTAACACCTTTACATAATGAACAACTAAATAAACTTAATAACTTATTAATTTTTTAATTACTAAATTTAAATTCAACAAGTGTTAATTTTTTAATTCCTAATTATTTTTTTAATTACTAAAAATTTAAAATATTTCTAATAACTTAGTAAAACTTTTCTAAAATAATTAAGTTTCAAAAATACCAACAATTAAACTAACTAAATTAATAAATAACATTTAACAATAAACTAACTCAATTACCGATTAACAATTACACTAATAACAATAACAATTAAATTAATAACAATAAATAATAACAATAAAATTAACAATTTAAACTCTCACAATTAACAACAATTAATAACAATTATATTTTCTTAGCAATTAAACTAACTAAATTAACAACTAACAATAAATTAATTAAATCAACAATTAATAATAAAAATAACAATTAAATTAACAATTAAACTCATAATTAACAAAAAGTAATAACAATTAAACTAACTAAATTAACAATTAACAATAATATTAATTAAATCAATAATTACAATAACATTAACAACACAATTAACAATTACAATAAAATTAACAATTAAGCATTTAAACTCTCATAATTAGCAAAAATTAATACCAATTAAATTTTCTTAACAAATAAACTAACTAAATTAACAAATTACAATTATGTTAATTAAATCACCAATTAGCAATAACATCAACACATGCAATTAACAATAACAATTAATTAAATTAACAAATAATATTTAAATTAAATTAACTAAATAATTGCAAAAATTAAAAAATAAAATGAGTAAGGATGGCAATGGGGCGGGACGGGGACGGGGATCTCCATCCCCGTCCTCGCCCCGTCCCTAAAAAATTTCCCCATCCCCGCCCCGTGCCCGAACGGGGTAAAATTTTTCATACCATCCCTACCCCAAAACGGGGATGGGGATCCCCGTAGGGCAAACGAGGCAAAAATTATTATTATTATTATTATTTTGTTTCATCTTATCCCATTTTACTACCAAATTTCAAACTACGACAAAAATAATAATAATAATAGTTTATATAGAAAATATACCCTAAAAGTCACTAATCATAGATTTTATATGGGTATAATTATAATTTTAATAAAAAAAGGGGCAAACGGGGCGGGGCAAGCAAATCCTATCCTCGCTCTTGGGGTGCCCCACCTCGCCTCTTTCCTCGGTCAATGTAGGGAATCCCGGCGTTGATCGGGGAAAATCGGGATGGGGTGGGGCGAGCCTCTATCGGAGCAGGGGCAAATTGCCATCCCAAAAAATGAGAGGTTAGATAGGGGAGGACCTCTCATCAACACAAGGAGGAGAGGGGGCTGCGCCGAGTGGAAGGACTTCGTCGGACTAGTCCGGTTGAAAAACGATCGATGGAGGAAGAGAAGAGAAAGGAAGAAAGAAAGAGGAAAAAAGGGAAGAAATGAGGATAGATGGAGGGGAGAAAGGGAAGGAGGAGAGAAAGGAAAAGATTGGATGGAAAATAAGGGAGAGGGGGAAGATTTGATGGAAAATATGGCCGGATCGACGCCGTCTGTCGGAGGAGAAGAAGAGACGAGAGAGATTTTTTTTTTTTTTTTTTTGAAAATTTTCAGCCGAATGGGTTTTTAAAGGTAAAGGTTTAGTGACGGATACCAAATCGTCGCTAATTGTCGGTTATTTTAAAAAAAAAATTGAAAAAATAGTTGCTTCCCCCAACGGATTAAATTTAGCAACGATCTCGCTAAATTGATTTTTTAATTTTTTTTAAATTGCAATTCGCGATGATTTTTCTAGGAAAAAACCATTGCTAATTGTTTTGCAACGGAATTAGCGATGGTCCGATGGACCGTGGCGAATTTCAATTTTAGCAACGTTTTTCTCAAAAAAATCGTCGCAAATACAGATCCAAATAAAAAAAAATCCAGGTAATTAGTGACGGGTTGGTCAAACTGTCACTAAAAACGATCATTTTAGGGAAATTTAGCTACGATTTTTTTAATCCTAGCTAAAGCAACTTAAACCGTCGCTAATTTTCCATCACAAAAATGACTTTTTGTTGTAGTGTACCGTAATAAAAGAGTTTATGCTAAAACCACTTCAAGGAAGTAATTAAACTAAAGATAAAGCCGGACTTTGGTTTTTCCTATAACCTTACAAGCCTATAATTTTTTATGGATATTGCATGATCTTTGTATGATCTTTGCATGATGTTGCATGATCTTTGTACACAATTATATAAAGTTTCAACATCTTTTCTTATCTTTTGTGGAAATTTATTATATATAGACTTTATTTTTATATACCATTTCAAAATTAGTTTTATATATCTGATTATTTCTTTATCGTCTTGTGTTTTTTTTCATTAGTACTTTATATTTTTTTTCCATATATGATATTATTTTATGTCTAAAAACACAGCTAGACGTGACTAAAAAAAAAAAAAAAAAGATCATATCCATCATGTGCTGCACTGTTTTGTGCCACAAACTCAAAAAAATAAATTAATATTGGAGCACAAATATATAACACGTGGAAAAGATCAACTTTCATGGAAAAGTTATAGAACCGTATTTCAATACAAAAATTTCCCTTTGTACTGTACACTGAGCCACCAATCATGACTGCTTCATACGCTAAAATCAGTTTGCTAAAAAAAATCTCTCTGCCCAATATTCTAGTCATGTACAAATTTTTTTTTTTTTTGGTTATATACATAAAAAATTAATCAAATCTCAATGGGTTGACATGATTGGAAAAAAAATCTCCCAGTTGATTGTATCTTTTTCTCTTTTCCTCCTCTGCCTCATCTAACGGTGACCCAACACCCAGAGTCAGACCAATTGCAACTCCGATCACCTGTTAGCTGCCGGATTCTATCAGCCGGCGAAGTCCAACAAGATGAATTTAATGAAGGGAATATTGAATCCACTTTGCCATCGGACCAAAACTCTGATCGTGGCGATGATGATTGAACAGAAACCCACTCAGAGAAATCAAAATGGCATCTTGGTGATGTTGATAATTCTTCACTTTCTTCTTTCAATGGAACAGTTTCTTTAACTTGGTTAGCAACAAAAGGATGTTCCAAAAGCATGTCAGCAGTCCATCTTTGTGTAGGATCTTTAACAAAACACTTCGACAAAAAATCTTTGCCTTCTTGGGACAATTCTTCAGGTATCATTGGCAATTCATCTCCCTCTCCAATTCTGATCAGCAACGCAAACATATTGGTTCCTGGCTTACAATTCCATGCTGGTTTCCCTGTCACCATCTCAACAATAGAACACCCAAGAGCCCAAATATCAACCCCTGACTCGTATTCATTGTTGTTGACTGATTCAGGTGCCATGTAAAGAGGAGTCCCTCTAATTTCCACCCTCCCCTGTTTCTCCCCTGCTTTCTTTGCCAACCCAAAATCCGCAATCTTCACTTCATGACCATTCTCAAACAGCAAAATATTATCAAGCTTCAAGTCACAGTGAACAAACCCTTTTGTGTGAATATGGCGCAGACCTTTCAGTATCGATTTTGTGTAATTTTTTACATCACTTTCTTGCAAGCAACCACCAGACTTCTTGAGCTTGTAAGATAAGCTGCCTCCTTCAGCATACTCCAAAAGCAAATTATATAAGCATTCGCTGTTTTCTTCGGTAGTTTGACAGTCGCCGAAATATTGGATGATTTCTGGACAGAAGCCAATTTCATTCAAAATTTCTCTCTCGTTCTCGAGGATGTTGGCGTCGGCTTGGTTGCAGGACTTCACCGCCATCACTGCGGGATACGAAAAAGATGAGTTTTTGGGGGTTGCAAGGTGGACTGTAGATGAACTGCCGTAGCCAAGGCAGCCTCCTCTTACCCACTCCATGCTCGTTTAGCGTTTTGAGAAGATTGGAAAAAGAGAGGGGAAAACTGCGTATAGCGTGAGAAAGGTAAAAAGCGGAAGGGAGGTTTTTATAGGGACTTTTCCCGAGTGGAAACGGACGGCGTGGTCATGATTTTTGGACCCGATATAATAATAATTTTTTTTTACTAAGATCCAATATAATAATATTCACAATTTGGTTATCAAAAAAGAAAAAGAGTGCTACAGATAACCAAATCTTGGACAAAGGATTATGCTGATCCCCCCAATTATCTCTCTATGTCAATTCCATACCAAAGTAATTCCTCGATTGGATTTTTAACTTAATTTTTTTTTAATTATAATTTCAAATATGATATAAAAAAATCAATAAATATTTTTGAATAAAGAGATGAATATAGATTAACACTTTTTTGTTTTTCTAAACATGTGGGTACTTTCATATGAATTTCAGAAAAAAAAAAAAAGCATGAAAAAGCTAGATTGATATTGCAAATTCTAATAAATAAAAATATATTGCTCTTAACCAATCAAAATTTTCATTGTTGTTGTGACTTCATCCATCCCTTGCAATCTTGCAATTTTACTTTATTCATAGATGCGATTTACAGTAACTTATTTATTAAGAATTAAAAAAAAAAAAAAAAAAAAAAACCTCTACTGACTTGCAGCACATATGCAGTTCGTTCAAAATTATTAACAGATCATTTATGTTATACGTAACAACATGTATGAAGAAGGGGATCCAGTTTTCATAACCGGTTATACATATAAATAATATTCAAACTTCCAGTTTTCCTGGCGTTCAATTAAAGATTATATATGTTGCGTTTTACCAAAATGTTACGCTGGCAATATTAATTGTCCCATTTGCTTGGGAAACATTTCAAGTTTCAAGTTTGCAAACTGTTATGACATTTATAATAAGTTAAAAGTACTGTCATTTTTAAAATAAAATTTGGACTCTTCCAATGATTAAAACAGCAGAAGAATTATTTTCATAATATAACTTAAATCCTCATTGAGTTGGAGTTAGTAATGAAAAGGGTTTTTTTTTTTAATTTAAATTTTTATAGTTTCAACATAAATAGATTAATTCGATAGACCAAGTATACGGTTAGTTAGTTAGATTTCACTTACAGACCTATCTTTTGAGGTTTGTCTTTTTGGATTTGTCAAGTGACTTAGAGCTCGGGATCTTTACTTGAGCTACTAAGCCTTTATAAGATTCTAATATTATATAGAGTTAGATAGTTGAGATTGGATTAAGCCTTATGATGAACGATTCATTCTCAATCTTATATGTTAATTATCTTTAGTTTAACTATTCAATGTGGGATGTGTGATTTAACAACTAGAAGGTTGATCATATTCTTTTATCAAAAAGAAAGTTGATTTATAGGATAGCCCTATTAATTTTTTTTTTTAATTCTTTCGATCAATACGGCCTATTGGTGCGCAAATTTAATTGTATAACATTAGATTGGGATGATATCATTCATACTTGCCACTTAATGGAATCTACCTAGTTGGTACTAAAGAGAAAATAAAATCCCAGAGAGAGTACTGCAAATCATATGCAGGTATTGTTGCCTTTAACTGTCAAGAAATTAAAGGGTGGCATAATATGCATGGTGCAGGAACCCTCCATTCCAGCTGCATGATAAAAATACGAAGGATTCTAAATAAAGAATTCCAAGTTGGGCTCACAGTCGTCATCAATCTGTAATAATCAGTGCATAACATGCAGTAGAGAGAGATACCACGTTTTTATGGTCGATCTGCTGCAGCAGCCAACCTTTGGCATCACATGTTGTCACGTTATACACAAGAATAGAAGTCAGTGAATTAGATTGCTGCAACCGATTTTTCATCACTCGAGACCCAATCATATCTATAAACTTTATCATTATATTTACATATTATTATTATTATTTTATTTCAATATATTCTAAGACTAAAAGGCTAAACTAATTTCTTACTGTTCTATGGATCCTATAAAATTGATAAATTTATATACACAAATAACTGAATTCAATGTTATTTATTTAAATAATTAGAATTTTTTTTCACTCAAATCAATTCTTTTTAATTCTTTTATTTATTTATATAGTACTATTAATTTTTCACAGTTTAATCTCATTATTAAAGAAATTTGTACTATTTCTTGAGTTGTTGAATTAAATTTAGAATCAGCATTCAGACAAATTATTAGGTTTTTTTGGTCTGAAAACGATGTGGTCTGTATATATGTGTGTGTTTGAAGAAATAGTGGCGGAGGTTTTGGGTAACTAAATTCCAAGTACCAAAGCTTCACTCACGTGCTTCAAAAAACATATATATATATATAGAGAGAGAGAGAGATTCATTATTTGATGGGCGATGGTGAAAGGAACGGAGAGGAAGTTGAAGCAGCATGTCTAGATCACTTCAAGGGAACACAATATGAAACGAACTTGGCTTATTTGGTGGGGGGACCAGCTCAGCACCTAACATATATATGTGTGTGTGATGAAATGAAATTAACATGAAACATGATGGAGAATATTTTGGGCCTTTTACAATTCTTGGGAATTCCTTTATGTGAAAGTTAGTAGGTTTGATGGGTGAGCTTAGCTTATTTGGTGGGTGTAGCTAGAATGTGTTTGTGCATCCTCATGGCGTTCCTTGGACACCACATGCGTCACACACATGCCTGGATTTATTTTTCACCTTGTCTTTTCTAGAAATATGTATCAAAACAATTTTTTCCTCTTTTTATTTTTTGAAATTACTTTTATTTATTTATTTATTTATTTTTAACTAGTGATACTATTATCTAACTTGGTAGTTCATGTCATTTGTTATCATAAAATTGATTGAAATTTTATCGAAAGGGGCACATTCAAAAAATATGTAGAATAAAAGGACCAAATAGATAAATAAAAAAGAGTAGGGAAGTGATGTTAAGAAAATGTGAAAAATAAAGAGTCAAAACATGTGCTTAATCCAATAAATAAATATAAATTATGAGTTTATATACCATTAAGAGATGTGGTCTAGTGATAATAAAATTATTTTGATTTGGTTAAAATCAATATTGAGTTCAGATCTACTTACATATGATTAGTCATAATTATATTTCAGAAATATCATACTTGGACTAATTTGATCTTAAAAAAGAGTCTAAAAAGAAGTATAGTGTCAACCAAAAATTTGATCTAAAAAAGAGTCTAAAAAGAAGTCTAGTGTCAATCAAAAATTAAATGTATTATGACACTAACTTAACCCAAGGAATAATAGACTTAATTTCCATTAATTCAAAAAATAATCTGAAAATATCTCACTATTTGTAAATATAAAAATAAAATAAAAAAGTAATGAGTTTATATGTACACATACGTTGCATCAGATATTTTGAGGTTTAGCATGATAGGTAATTCGATTTGCTTTCCACACAACTATACAAAGTTTGAATATTTGTGATAAAAAATAATATTTTGTAAAAACACTATTTAAAAAAAAATTGATTTGTAGACAAATTGATCACGTACTCAATAAAAAATATTGTGCATTTACCGTCATGCACATATATATGGATGAATCTTAATTCATCTATATGGGAAGTCATGGATGGTTATACTATGTGCATGTGTACGAGAGGCAAAAAAGATTTTCTCAGCCATATGGGTCTGCATAAAATTCATCAAGTAGTTGGCAACTTGAAAATTTTACAAGTTGAATCAAAAGAAAATCTGAATGGCTGCCAAAACGTCAATTTTAGCTTTGGAGAAATGGTGGGATTTTGTTTGTCGGTTTCATGGACTAGCCCACATGAGCTCAGATTCATAGAACCGTTGGTTGAGCCGACGGTGTGACCTTGTTTTGCAAGTCAAATTCATGAATCAATGAATGAAGGAACTGGTCTAAAAAAAAGCAGCCAAACCCACCAAACATTGCAAATTCTAAGGCCACCAAACAAGGACTGTGATGCTATAACAGTCAATTTCCCATATCTGTACCCATGTTTTGGGTTCTCTCATATTTCATGAAGTAGTGTGTTATGTGACTGCGACCCACTAGCCAGCCGTCTTTGATTTGACTCCCCAACGCTGCCATTCCTGTGATTCTGCTCCCTTGTTCATTACCAAATACTATTTTTGCGTGCATTTGCCTTTTTGCCTTGGCTGCATTTACCAATTATTGATGGGGTTTTGTTTTGTTTTGCTTCAGTTTTTGAATTGGTGGGATTTTTTGGTTGGATCGCTTAAATGGGCCCAAACGGTGATTATTTAATTTCACAGAGGCAAACTCTGGCTCATGCGAAGTGGATTTGATCCACCAATCATGGATTCCTGGGGTCCTTCTTTACAGATTTTTTTCTCAGTTTGAGCATTGACTATTATATATGCAGCCACTCGAGGGTGGAACTTAAATTGGAAAAGTATGAAAAGTTAGCTAAGAAGAAAAAAGGGCGAAAAGTATGAAGGAAAACCTTTCACACTAGGGAAGGATCAAGTCAAGTCATAGTTCACATCTTCACAACCGATAGAGAGAGTCATAGTTCACGTTCGCCACATTTAATAAAAGTAAAAATGGTTCACATTGGTGAAGTGCAAAGGTCATGCGTTCATAGAATTTCCAAGAAGCAAAGCTTGGTTGTGCTCCTTGTGGATAATTTGGGTCAATACTGGATAGACATTTATTTTTATTTTCTTGACTATTCTGCTCCTTACTTATATTTTGACATTTTATTATGAGGATTGCTTTATGATGATTTAAATGTGCGTATATGAATCGTTGAGGTGGATAGAGTTGATTTTCAGTCCTCTGACTTGTAGGCCTTGGGTTCTGGGTGTGAAACCCAATTTTATACTATCGACTTGTAGCTGGAAAGCTATAATATCCTCGCATAATTACGCAGTCAGCAGAGGCACAATTACGCAGTCCTTGTTGAATAAAATATCTTCGAAGAAAGAACAATGAAAAGGGTGAATATAAATTGTGGGATTCCTTTGTCCAAG